AACCGGTTCTCCCAACTGCTTAGAAAATTAACAACCGGTTCTCCCGAATAGGTGCGAACTGGCTGAATCTCACCACTGCCTCATACGCCTTCCTCCTCCTATTTCTGCCAGAACCCTGTGAGTTGTCTTCAGTCCTCGACTTAAGACCACAATTGAGACCGGAATCAATAAATCAGTCAAAACGTATCAGACAGGTTTCCATTCTCACAGCAGAGCAAGACTCCTCGTCGTAGGACTGACACACAGCAAACCTGCCACTGAAATGGCTTGAGAATGTTGTGGCCTCTCGGCCACCGGACCTTCCAGCAGCTGAATCAGCGGAGGAGGAGGAGGTGTGAGAGTCAGGGCCAGCATCAAGGTGGGGAATGGGGAAATGAATTTTGCAGCCGCAGCAAGGCAGCACGTCAGTCAAAACAAAAGCACATTCCAGCCATATCTCTCTCAAGGCCATCTCCGCGGATACCCACAGTGGCCGGAGGGGAGTGATCTCTACAACCCACGAAATTGCTTTTTGGAGAATGTGACTGATGACACACCTTGGGGGGAGGGGGGGAAACAGGGTCAGAGCTGGAACATAAATTACATGTCAGAGTTGGCTTCACTTGGAACATGCCGACATGAAGCTCCTAATAAATAACTGGATTTCTTTTGAAGCTTGGCTCGAGGCTCATGGTTTAATTAGGGCATCGGTTGGAACCCTGACATAGAGAAGATCTAATAGAAGAAGCCCATTTGGGTCACGAGGTTCTGAGAAGGTCTAAGGCAGGGGTGGGGAACCATGGCCCCTTTATGACCTGTGGACTTCAACTCCCAGAATTCCCGGAGCCAGCATGGAATTGAAATCCATAGGTAATAAAGTTCTCCACTCCTGGTCCAAGGCAACGGTTTTTCAACCTCCCATCCTCCAGATGTGTTGATCTACCTCTAGAAGTAACAAGTTTTGGGGAGACCAGTGATGTAACGCCATTGACTCATCATTTCAGTATTTTTGGCTACCATCACTGGCGAGACAAACATATTAGCCCTACCTACACCCTGTAGGTCAGGGGTCTCCAACCTTGGCAACTTTAAGACTTGTGGACTTCAAGACTTGTGGACTTCTTAGGAAGAGCCTGTAGTACAGTGGACTAAAGCACTGTTATTAACATCCGCTGCTTGCAATTACCGTGAGTTCAAATCTCCCCAGGCTCAAGGTTGACTCAGCCTTCCATCCTTTCTAAGGTAGGTGAAATGAGGACCCAGATTGTGGGGCCAATAAGCTGACTTTGTATAAATATACAAAAGGATGAAGGCTATTGCTTAACGCATTGTAAGCTGCCCTGAGTCTCCGGAGAAGGGCGGCATATAAATTAAAGCAAAAAAAAAAAAAAAAAAAAACTTCCCAGAATCCCCCAGCCAGCTCGCTGAGGAATTCTGGGAATTGAAGTCCACAAGTCTTAAAGTTGCCAAGGTTGGAGACCCCTGCTGTAGGTGGTTTTCTTGAGTCAGTTTTCTTTCTCCAATGAAGGGGAAGAATCCCACATCTAGGGGAACCAAGGACAAGACCCACAGCACCCCCCAACGAAGCTCTCAAGTTGCTGAAATCTCCAAAAGGGCACCAGGATCCAGTTTGGGACTCCGCAGAGACATTTTTGATTGACATCCAGCCAAACACAGCTGTGAGTGACTCATCCTGTGAGAGACTTCCCAGGAAGACAGATGGGGCTGGGGGCTGGGGGCTAGGCCTGGAGGGTCTGGGGGTGGACTTCCCAAGCCCAACCTGCAGAACAGACTCTACGGAGGCAGCTTTGAGTCACTCCTAGGGAATCCTTTTCTCGCTGTCTTTAAGCTTTGCCACTGCTCGCCTCCTGAAACTTCCTGGGAACTTTCAAGGTGTTGGATTTTATCGACCTCCAAGTGCATTAGGAAGAAAGATAGAGGGAGGGGAGGGAGGGAGGGAAGACGGACGGAGGAGAGGAAGAAGAAAGGGAGGGAGAGAAAGAAGGGAGGGATGGAGGGATGGAAGTAAGGAAAGAAAAAGAAAGAAAGAAGGAAGGAAGGAAAGAAGGGAGAAAAAGAAACAGAAAGGAAGGAAGGAAGGAAGAAGAAAGGGATGGAGTGAAAGAAAGAAGGAATGGAGGGACGGAGGGATGAAAGGAAGGAAAGAAAAAAAAGAAAAAGAAAAAAGAAGGAAAAAAAGAAGGAAGGAAGGAAGGAAGGAAGGAAGAAAAGAAAGAAAGAAAGAAGGAAGGAGGGAAGAAGGAAGGAAAAAGGAAAGGAAAAAATTCCTCATTAATTTCCTCTTGTTTGTCAGCAAAGCTCGGGAAGGCAGGCACAGACACACCCAAAGTGTCAACTCAATATCAATCAAGGCCTCTTTCCCAGGCTGCTGGGTTGGGAGGAGGCAAGACAAACCCCAGACAGGAGGCCAGGTTGGGAGTTTTCCCAGAAGCCCCAAAACAAGCCTCAAGCTCCCATCCGGACCTCATTTCTCTACGCAAAGTGCTGAGCTCCCATCCAGACTGTTTGACGAAGAATTACGGTACTCAAGGGGCAAAAGTCTCTCTCTCTCTCTCTCTCTCTCTCTCTCATCTATCTCTTATCTATATATTATCATCTATCTATCATCTATCTATGTATATCTATCTATCACTATCTATCTATCTCTCATCTATCTCTCATCTATCTATCTATCTATCATCTATCTATCTATCTATCTATCTATAACTATCTATCTATCTATCATCTATCAACTATCTATCTATCTATAACTATCTATCTCTCATCTATCTCTCATCTATCTCTCATCTATCTATCTATCTATCTATCTATCTATCTATCTATCTATCTATAACTATCTATCTATCTATCATCTATCTCTCATCTATCTATCTATCTATCTATCTATAACTATCTATCTATCTATCATCTATCTCTTATCTATATATTATCATCTATCTATCATCTATCTATCTATCTATCTCTCATCTATCTCTCATCTATCTATCTATCTATCTATCTATCTATCTATCTATCTATAACTATCTATCTATCTATCATCTATCTCTCATCTATCTATCTATCTATCTATCTATCTATAACTATCTATCTATCTCTCATCTATCTCTCATCTATATATTATCATCTATCTATCATCTATCTATCTATCTATCATCTATCTATCAACTATATCTATATCTATCACTATCTATCTATCTATATCTATCTATCGCTATCTATTTATCTATCTATCTATCTATCATCTATCTATCATCTATCTATCTATCTATAACTATCTATCTATCTCCATCTATCTCTCATCTATATATTATCATCTATCTATCATCTATCTATCAACTATATCTATATCTATCACTATCTATCTATCTATATCTATCTATCGCTATCTATTTATCTATCTATCATCAATCTATCATCTATCTATCTATCTATAACTATCTATCTATCTCTCATCTATCTCCTCATCTATATATTATCATCTATCTATCATCTATCTATCTATCTATCTATCTATCTATCTATCTATCTATCTATCTATTTATCTGTTGTGGTCCTCTAAGTTGAGGACTTCCTATAAATCTAACATCACCGATTCCATTTTCCCAAAATATAAACCTCCGTTAACCAGGGCAAATTCTACTATCAGAATTCTCACTCTTCCAGAACCATGTTTAAAACTCGGGAACTTGGATTTTACTCATCTGGAAAATGTTCGCAAAGTTCATCTCACCAGAAGCCGCCCCCTTCCCTGACCTTCCTGCTCCCGCCATCATCACCCTCCTTCTCGGGGCCCGAGGTCAGCTATTTCAGTCTTAAATCCCAACCCGAAAAGCAAAGTGATGGACCGGGAAGAGGGAAGGTGTCTCACTTTCTCCACTCAGCTAGTTTGGCTCTGCTCCCAGCCTCTCAAAACGTACCACCCCCAATTTTTTTGGACATCAGCCCAGAGAAGAGGGGGGGAAGGGGGAAGAAAGCAATCCCCAATGAATTTTTTAATTCACAAAGCGCCTGGTGGAAGGTAAGCTTTGCAAATCACATTTCTTCACCCAGAATAATGAATTTAAATGGTAGCTTTATTCTTTTTTGCTTACTTTTTTCTAATAAAACATTCTTTGGGGTGGGGGGAAGAGTCTCGTGCAGGGGTGGATCTGGTTGTTTTCATTTTTTAAAAAACGGAATTTTTGAATGCTTTGATGATCTAGCGCTGGCTTAATCTCTCTCTCTTCTTTTAAAAAACAAACAAAGAAAGAAAAATAGAAGAGAATCTTTTGAGCTCAGTGTTGAACTGAGGGGTTCCTTGGTGGTTTTCTTACAGATGTTTCTTTCTTACCCAGCTAAATAACATCTTCAGTGCCAGAAGGGAATGAGGTTTGTGGAGAGGAGGAGGAGGGGGGGAGGAGGGGAGGAAGGAGGAGGAGGAGGAGGACTGGGCCAATCACTAGGAGACGGGAAATTCTAGTCCTGCCTTAGCCATGAAAACTGGCCGGGTGATTTTGGGCCAATCACCAGGAGACAGTGAGTTCTAGTCCTGACATGAAAAGCAGCTGGGTGCCTTTGAGCCAATTCCCCTCTCACAGGGTTTTTGTTGGGCAGAAAATAGAGGAAGGAATAGTAAATACGTTCACCGTCTTGAGTCATTTATAAAAACAATAAAGGTGGTAAACCTTTAACCAAATAAACAAATAAATAAATGAGTTGGAAGACACCCTTGGACCATCTCCCTGCGCTCCAGATTAAACTATCTTCCCCAGATGGACATTAGGAGAACCAACTCAACCCAACCCAACCCAACCCAACCCAACCCAACTCAACCCAACTCAACTCAACTCAACTCAACTCAACTCAACTCAACTTGATTCAGTTCAGTTCATTCCCCTAGTAACCACCTGTTTCTATTATCAGGAACGTGATTTCCAAACATTAATTCAGGCTATCTAATGTCTGTCCTCCACTCACTATCACAGTTGACCTCCGCACACACGGGCCCTCCGTTTACTTACACAGTTTCATCGTCCTTGAACTCCAGTTCCCCGCAAGAGTCCTCATAGTCCATACCACCTCCTTGAGCAGTTCCCTCCACCGTCTGGTAGGGGACCATCACAGTCCCTCGGGCCCCTGAGCTCCGAGTGACTTTGACCTCCAGAGTCCCTTGGCACTCACTGACCCTTAACAGTTTGTCCTGGAATCCAAAAATGCCAGCATGGTCATCGTCCAGAATAGTCACGGTGGCCACCAGTGGGGCCACCAAGCGTCCCTTGGGGTGCTCAGCAGAGTCTGACTCGAACATGCCTTCCGCATCGCCCACCCGCAAGTTCAGAAGCCGGACGAAAAAATGTTCATCTTCTTCAAAGATGTCGTCATCAATGATGCCGATCTTCAGCTCCTTCTGGGTCTCGCCGGGTTTGAAGATCAGGGTGCCCTCACTGTACTCGTAATCGGAACCTGCTTTGGCTGAACCATCCTCGGTCTTGTAGTCTACATAGAACGTGTTGTAACTTTCTCCCCCTTGTTGACAAGACACGGTCAACGTGACCGAGCCGCAGTTCTCCAAGCAGTGGTACATGAATGGCTCAAAGAAGATCTTGCTGTAGTTCTCCTCCACCTCGGCTTCTGAAGGCACCTCCAGAAGGTTGGTGGACTTCTTGGAGAATTCTGTGACATGCTTCTTGAGGATGTTGCCTGCTCCGGTCATCATGCGTGTTGCCTGGATGCGGTAGAAAGCCCGGCTCTTCTGTTGATGCAGTAGAGCGTAGTAGTTGGCAATCTCTACCAGCTGTTCCAGCTCTTTATCGGGGTGTTTCTGCTTGAGGTCTTTGAGGATCTGGATGACTTCTTTGCGACTCTCGTCCAACTCTTTCTCCTCCTGGGTGATGACGGGAAGGGGAGCTACGGATGCCGCGCTGCCATCCACGAAGACGCTCTCTCGGTGGTCGTTGGCCACGAATCCTCCGTCCATCTCGATGCCTTTGGGGAACTCCCCCTCAGTCCCAATGATGATCCCGCTGCGTGGGTCTGCCCTATACCTCTTGTAGACATACTTGTAGAACAACAGCCGTTTGTCAGCTATCCAGGCGAAGACAACACAGACTGGGAAGAAGACCAGGGTCAACAGGGCCTCCCATACTTGGACGATCCCCGGTGAGAAGACTGCCAAGATCAGGTACAACCAGATGTAGGCGAAGATGCTCCAGGAAGCGGTGACAAAGAAGACCCTCAAGTGCTTGATCTTGCGGCTCTCGCCGGTGGGGATGACGTAGACGCAGACGGCGATGACCATGAACATGTTGAAGGCCGCACTGCCCACAATCGTGCCGGGACCCAGTTCTCCTGCCTGGAAGTTATGGCCGCAGACTTCGATGACGGACAGGAGGATTTCAGGAGCTGAGGAACCCAAGGCCATGAGGGTGAGGTTGGAGACCGTCTCGTTCCAGATTCTCACGGTGCCAATGCTGGTCTCCCCGTTGGCTTTGGTGATGGTGATCTCCTTCTCTTTGGAAGTGATGACTTCGATGGAGGCCATGAAGCGGTCCGCGACGATAGAGACCCCCAAGAACATGTACATCATGGCCACAAAGTAGACAATGGCCCGGGCAGCTTTGTCTCCAAAAGAAGGGTTGTCTGGTTGCCAAACCGGGAGGAGGACTCCAGGTTGACATTTCGTATAGCCTTCGCAGGTGCCGTTCACTTCCGGATCAACTTCATTGGCACCAACCCAGGAGATATTCCCAGCGCAAAAGACCCCGACGACCAAGATTTTGGTAAGAAAGGAGGAGGAGACCCTCAGCTGCCCCCACGGAAGCAGCATCCTTCTTGAGTCGTTGGGGGCCACAGGATCTGGGAGGGAAGACAAGAAGAAGAAAGAAACATTAGCGTTCTCGGGAGCTGCCCTCCAGGGTTAAGGCACCAGGCTTGAAAGAAGGAGACGGTGAGTTCTAGTTCTGCCTTAGCCATGAAAGTCAAGTGGGAGATGGTGAGTTCTAGTCCTGCCTTAGGCAGGAAACGTAGCTGGGTGACTTTGGGCCAATCACCAAGAGATGGTGAGTTCCAGTCCCGCCTTAGGCAGGAAACCTAGCTGGGTGACTTTGAGCCGATCACCAGGAGACAGTGAGTTCTAGTCCCGCCTTAGGCATGAAAGCCAGCTGGGTGTCTTTGGGCCAGTCCTTCCCTCTCAATGCAATAAACCTCACAGGGTTGTTGCGGGAAAAATATTAGGAGGAAGGAGGAAGGTATGTTGGATATGTTTGCTGCTTTGGTAAGACCACACTTGGATTATTGCATTTAGTTTTGGCCACCTGAGAAAGACAAAATCAACTTATTCTGCAAAGCACCAGAAGGCAGGAGAAGAAGCAATGGATGGAAACTAATCAAGGAGAGAAGCAACCTTGAACTAAGGAGAAATTTCCTGACAGTGAGGACAATTAACCAGTGGAACAACTTGCCTCCAGAAGTTGTGGTTGCTCCAACACTGGAAGTGTTAAAGAAGAGATTGGACAACCATTTGTCTCCTGCTTGAGCAGGCGGTTGGACTAGAAGACCTCCAAGGTCCCTTCCACCACTCTTATTCCATGCTCCGAGTTCGAATCCTGTCCTAGCAACATTCTGCGTGCATTTTTCTGAGCCTGGACGATCCCTTGTTTACTTCGCTACCCGGCCAAGTAAACAAATGAGTCATTTGCCCACTCAGATAACAAATTGGCAAGGGAAGGGGGAAGATAATTATTATTATTTTTTTTTAAAAAAATCTGCTTTTAAAACAATTTCTGGAGGAACACAATATTTAAAGAGCAATAGCAATAAATAGTGGTAAGCAGGGAGGGGAGAGAGAAAGAGAGAGAGAGAGAGACAGCTTCACACTGTAATTTTAAAAGCCAAGGAACAATCTGCTATAAGAACTTTTTTAGAAAAATTAAAAAAACGCAATGTTGTGGTGATGGAATTTGCCTCCTTCTAGAAGATGAGAAAAGAGCGAGGACAAAAGGAGGTTTTGCCAGGAAGAAAAGGTTTAAGGCAAGAGTTGGCAACCCGCAGCTCTGGAGCCGCATGTGGCTCTTTCATCCCTCTGCTGCGACTCCGTATCGCCAGTGGGTAAAAGGAAAAAGGACGCCACGCTAGGAGGAGACTCTATGGTGGGGGAACTGGACTTCTGGTTGGCAGAGGAAAAAGGACGCCGTGCTAGGAGGAAACTCTATGGTGGGAGAACCGGACTTCCGGTCGACTCCAGAATTGAATGGGGGGCTTCCGGTTAGGACCTTTGTGGCTCTTTGAGTGTTTAAGGTTGCCGACCCCTGGTTTAAGGGAACAGGTAGGAATGAGTGGATTTATCCTTTTCATGTTCTCAGAACACCCAGTAGTGGCTGAAAGGAGAAATGGACCAAGAAATCAGCTGTCACCCTCTCACCAAAGTGGTACCTATTAATCTACTTGCATTTCCATGCTTTCGAACTGCTAACTGTCTATGGAGATTCTCGGGCATCCAGGTCAGGGTTGTCCCAAAGGCGTTTTTTTCCAAAGAAAAAACGTTTTTCCTTGAAGACGTTTCGCTTCTCATCCAGGAGGCTTCTTTCTTCAAGTTCTGACTGAACGGTGGAGAATGGAAGGATCGCTGTTCTTTGCAGTCATCTGAACGGGAGAACATAAATCCTTCCAATCTTCATCATTCAGTCAGAACGGAAGAAGCTTCAGTTGGGTGAGAAGCAAAATGTCTTCAAGGAAAAACAAAGAAAGCACCTGTTGGATTCCTTGGTCCATCTTCTGTTAAACAGGGTTGCCTTGAGGTAAGGTGGGTGGCCAACAAATGTAAGGACAGGACAGGACAGGACAGGACAGGACAGGACAGGACAGGACAGGACAGGACAGGATAGGATAGGATAGGATAACAGAGTTGGAAGGGACTTTAGAGGTCTTCTAGTCCAACCCCCTGCTCAGGCAGGAAACCCCACTCCTTCCCTTCTCTTCTCTCTTCTCTTCTCTTCTATTTTCTCTTCTATTTTCTCTTCTCTTGTCTCCTCTCCTCTCTTTCTCTTTTCTTCTCTCCTCTCCTCTCCTCTCTTCTCTTTCTCTTCCCTTCCCTTCCCTTCCCTTCTCTTCTATTTTCTCTTCTCTCCTCTCCTCTCCTCTCTTTCTCTTTTCTTCTCTTCTCTTCTCTCCTCTCCCTTTCCCTTTCTCTTTCTCTTTCTCTTTTCTTCTCTTCTCTTCTCTTCTCTTTTCTTCTCTTTCTCTCCTTTCCTCCCCTCCCCTCCCCTCCCCTCCTCTCCTTTCTTCTCTTCGTTGAATTTATTTGTCCTGCATCTCGTAATCTCTGGGCAGCTTTTGAACAGTCGCTAAGCCATCTGTCGTAAGTCGAGGACTCCCTGTCCTCGACTCGAACGTCCTGATAGCCCTGGATTACAGTGGCTCCACGCTCCACCGCCGGCTCTCCTCCGGGGGCAGCAGGCTTTGCCCTGCGCTGAGCATCTTCTGCCTATGTGATTTTCCAGCCGCTGCTCCGGTTTCTGCAAAAGAGCTGCTGACTCAGAGTTTCCTCCACCTGAGAGGCCTCGGGAAAACCAGCAAGCTGGTTGGGAAATCCCTCCGACAGCAGCAGGGAGAAAATTGGGCTGGACGAGGAGCTCCGTTTCCTTCTCCAGCGGCTCCGGACAACCTGAACCCAAGTCATGTTTGGAGAAGGCGGATGAGCTGGGTTGGCTAACAAGGAGGTCTCCGAAGGGCTCAGAGGTTGCTGGCTTCATGGTTGGAAACCAATCAAGGAGAGAAGCCACCTAGAACTAAGGAGAAATTTCCTGGCCGGGAGAACAATTGCAGGTAGTCCTCGATTTACAACGGTTCATCTAGTGATGGTCACAGAGCATAAAGTTGTAAGTCGAGGACTACCTGTATTGGATGGGTAGGGGCTTGGGGTTGGGGAATTCTGGGAGTTGAAGTCCACATCCATCTTCAAGTGGTCATGGTTGAGAAACTCTATCTAAAATAGTTTCCAAAAATTACTGGTCTTCTTTTAGTGTCTTTTGATATTATTTCTGTTTTCTTGTTTTTTTTTCTTCCTATATAAATTATGGCTAGTCCGCGGAAATACACCATGGCTGTATCCCATTTTGCAGTGAAGTCTCTTCTTTTCTATTCTTTTTTTTTTTTTTTAAAGAAATCCATTTCTTTTCCCATTGTTTGTATAAATCCTTTGTCCTTTAATATGGATTGATTCAACATCCATCTCCGTTTTTTCTTTGGTCCTTTCCACTTCACTTTTACTGACTGGATTGTGATCTATTTCCCATTGATTCGCTTCTATCGAAGAAGTTTTCCAGTAGCCCAAAAGAGATTAACCCCCTGGCGTCAAAACCTTTTTGCCTTTATTTTAGAATGGAAAAGTTGTCCTCCAAGATTAAATCCCCGGTGATCTCTTAAATAGGGATAGCTGTGTTACTACCGAGACAGAAATTACTGTAATTTTCTCTCTCGCTCCTTCTTCATGCTTTATCCTGTTTTGATTACTGTCATGGATAGCTGAATACTAATTTGATTTTAATAATGACCTGCTGGGTTTCCTTAAAGGGCAGAAGAGATTTAACAACATAAAATTAAACTAATGTCAGGCTGAAAGTTATTGTCTAACATATTCAATTTTACTCGAGTGCGTGATGTTTGGAAATTTCGTGCTTCTTCCTGGTCTGTTTTATTCTGTTTTATTCTGTTTCTGTTTCCTTGGTTGTTTTTGATTCCCCCTTTAATGAGACACAAATCAAAGGAAACAAAAAACAACAGAGGTCATTTAGTCCAGCCTGCTCTTCCTTGGTAGGGAGGGATGCATTGCACATAATCTGGCCATGAGATCTGGCCATGAGCAGTGTGTATGGGTTTTTTCTTTTTAAACGTCTCTTATTGTATATTGTTCATATTGTCTTTATTTATTTTATTTTATTTTATTTTATTAAATTTCTATACCGCCCTTCTCCCGAAGGACTCAGGGCGGTGAACAGCCAGAAGATAAAACACAGTTAATTTTATAATAAATACAAAATTTAAAATAAATTAAAACATTAAATTAATGTTAAATTTAATTTACTGTGTGTTAATTTAAAACATTAAATTAAATAATTTAGGCTGAATTTTAAAATAAATTGGTCTTTGTTGTAAGCCGCCCAGAGTCCTCGGAGAGTTGGGCGGCATAGAAATACGAATAATAAATAAATAATAAATAATCTTTAGACTGTCAATCTTGCAAAGCCATGTCGATGTATAGGTATCCCTTGACTTGCCAAAGTTCATTTAGTGACTGTTTGAAGTTATAATGGCACTGGAGGGGGGGGAGGAATTTAGGTCTGGTCCTCACACTTATGACCATGGCCACATCCCCCAAGTCCCATGATCAACATTTGGGCACCATATAAAATTTGCAACAACATGTATTTAAAACAATTGCAGCGTCTCCCAGCCGGCTTCTAACAAAGCAAAGTCAATAGTTAAAAGCCGGATTCGCTTAACAACTGCAATGATTCACAGAACAACCGGGACAAAGAGGTCATAAAATCAGATGCAAGTCACTTACCAAACCACTTTGCCTAGTTTCTCTATTTTGCATACGTATTTTACCTATATATTTCACATATTTTGCATACGTATTTTACCTATATATTTCACATACTTTGCATACGTATTTTACCTATATATTTCACATACTTTGCATACGTTATTTTAACTATATATTTTCCCTATTTTGGTTATGTATTTGAACTATTTTTAGAATAACAGAGTTGGAAGGGACCTTAGAGGCTTCTAGTCCAACCCCCTGCTTAGGCAGGAAACCCTACACCACTTCAGACAAATGGTTATTCAACATC